ATAATATTTATAGTATTTCCAGGTAATGAAGGAAATGATTTAGCAAAAAGATTAACTGGAAAAGTTGGGGGACCAACCTCCATTATTTATACTCCAATTACATGGAAAAAATTAATTAATCAATTTATGCTTATGGGAAAAAATGATGCTACTTACGAAAATAATACGAGTATGCACATAAATGAAAGCAGAAATGCAAATATTCTAAAGCGAGTAGGGGATTATGAATTCCTTAAGATTGAAAATAAAAGTCAAGATATATATGAATATATAACTGGAAGAGATTTTAAGAGAAAGTGTATTTCCGGAAAAGATTTTAACAAAAAGTGCATTTTATGTGTGGTATGTCCTTTTCTCTTTATTTATCAAACATTCAACTTATTTTAATGTAATAATGTGTAACAATGCTAAGATTCTTAATCTTATGATAAACTTTATTTGTAGGATGATGATTCTATTAATCTAGAGGTAATTTGATTTGAATATCCGATACGTATGTATATCATTATTTTTACCAATTATATAATTATTTTTGATTTTAGAGCACATTGCAACAAGTTTCAAAACTTGGCTATTCAACGATATCCGCAACAAATGGCCAAGAAGCAATCAGATTGATCGATTCTGAGTTTAAGTTATTAAGTAATGCATACTCAAGTTCATCCACTTCAGATATGGAACAAGTGAATTCTTGCAGAATTTCACTAATTCTATTGGAATGCAATTTAGTAAGTTTAATCTGTTTGTATATATTGTCGCGGTGAAATATTCACGTTCACAATTAATTTATTATTATACTTTAGCAAATAATGTCAAGCTTTGATGTTTCACGAGCAGTTAGAGCAATGAGACCACCAATTTCAAATATACCGATTGTTATTTTAACAAATTCATTTGCTGAAGAGATACAAAATAAATGTATCGAGTTAGGAATAAATGATTATCTCGCAAAACCTTTGAAATTTGAGGAGCTTGAAAAAGTTCTAACTAAATGGATTGGCGAAATTAATATTAATTACAATTAAAATTATTATGAATGTTATATGCATCTTTTATGCTTTTATCGATCTTCCACTTTTATTTCTTGACATTTTATGATTTCAAATAAGTTTGCAATAAAAGTTTTATAAGCTCTATATTTACTTATTATTTACGAAGAACTAATAACATGTGATTGTTTTAAAGCCTTTATTCTCATTTAGTGCTATAATCTAACTGTTCGGTACCAGTTAGCACGGCACATGTTGTGGGTTTTCCAAAACCCAAATACAATCATCCTTCCATGTAGTCACCTCTCAACCTCTATGTAATCACTCAAAAATGTAACCCAAATTTTTAGGTCACACGACATATGTTAATAAATATTATAAAAAAAGTAATAATATCTAACAATCAAATTTTTTTTTTCATTAGCAATTGGAAAATTAAAGATCATTTTATTGAAATTTTGTTCTTTAAGTATTGTATACACTTTATTGAACTAATAAATTTGTAATATTCATAAAGTGGATAGACTTTAAAAACAGCAAACTTAATATATTGAATTATCATTTTTAAAACCTAATTACTTTGTCAATATTGCGAATTTTTTAATTTGTAGGTATAAATCTTTTTAAAAAACAAAACTTTGATTGCTATAGAAAAATTAATAAAAACAGAAAATTGATATATTAGAAACTATCATTTTTAAAATCCAACTACTTTGTTAATACCGTATACAGTAATAGAGCTTATATGAACCCACCTAATGTTAGTTTTTATACTGCTAATAAATAAAGGGGATCAATTTTCATACACCCACATTTAATATTCATACCTCCTTGTAGATTTAACTTTTTTTAAGCTTTAAAATGAAGATATCTTAGTAACTACCAAATTAAATTTAATAAATTTTTTTCTTTAAATTCTATAGATTCATAGAATTCAAATAAAAAAAAGTTTGATGAATTTGACTAAGATATCGTTGCTCAAAGTTTGAAAAAAATCAAAATATCTATCAAAACATCTATTAAAACAAACTACAAAATGTTTTTTAAACTTTGAGCGAAGATATCTCTGTAACTACTAAGCCAAATTCAATGAACTTTTTTTTGTTTAAATTTTATGAATCTATATAACTAAAATAAAAAAATTTCATAGAATTTAACTTAATAGTTACAGAGTTATCTTCACTCAAATTTTTAAAAAAATCCAAAACATCTATCAAAACAATAGCTGCGCCAAACTTTTCCCCAAAATTTAAGCGAAGATATCATAGTGATCACCAAACCAAATTTGATAAAAATTTTTGTTTGAATTCAATTAATTCGTAGAATTTAAATAAAAAAAATTATCAAATTTGGCCTGGTGGTTGCTAGGCTATCTTCGCTTAAAGTTTGGAAAAAACTTAGCGCAGCTTCTATTTTGATGGACGTTTTAGATTTTTTTTTAAAATTTGAGCAAAGATATCTTTGTAACTATTAAGTTAAATTCTATGAATTTTTTTTTATTTTAATTATATAGATTCATAGAATTCAAACAAAAAAAAAAAAGTTCATTGAATTTGGCTTAGTAGTTGTAAAGATATCTTTGCTCAAAGTTTAAAGAAAATTTTGTAGTTTGTTTTGATAGACATTTTGATAGACATTTTGATTTTTTTTAAACTTTGAGCACAGATATCTTAGCAACTACTGGGCCAAATTCAATAAACTTTTTTTTATTTGAATTCTATAAATCTATAGAATTTAAAAAAAAAAAATTTACTAAATTTGATTTGGTAATTACTAAGATATCTTCACTTAGTTTAAAAAAAAGTTAAATCTGCAGAGAGGTGTGAATATTAAATATAGGGAGTATGAAAATTGGTTCCCTAAATAAATATAATATATATATTTTATTAAAATAATATTAATTATTATGTATTTTACTGTTTTATTATATTTAGAAGTTGCTTTATTTAATGTTAAAGAATCTATATAAAGCTGTGTTTCTGAATATAGTTGTTACTATAATGACTGTATAGCTAAATATAGCAGCTGTTGTGGTGATAAGTTATTTGTGAAATTGTTATAAAGATAGATAGCCAGAGGTAAAGTTTTATTAGTCAAAGCTTCAAATGCCAAATTCTTGGGTGCTAAAGTTTTAAGTAAGTTGGTAATCTCCTTTTTTTTCTCAAAAACATAATGATTGATTAAAAGATAGTAAGAAGTAGCTTTAGTATCAATCGCAATCTTTATTTCAATTGATTGTAGTGCTTGAGCATTATCTCAATTACTAGCCAATTACACTAAGGGAGGTGCTTGAGAATAGTCTTGATTAACTTAATTAATTGTATATTAGTGGTCAAATTTTTTAGAATTTAGAATTAGTTATAACAAAACATTATTCTAATTTGCTGACAAAATAACAAATAAAATAGGTGATGCTTTGCGCTATCCATCAAACTATTCAATGTATAATTTTAAATTTTAATATATGTAGATTAATGTTTTAGGTGAAATTGTTTTTTATTTCTGAAATATTTCAAATTTAGCAAGGTGGTCTGAAAAAAAAATTCCAAATTCTGAAACCAAGACAAAAATCTGATATAAATCTGATAAAATCTGATACTTCTGATATTTCTAATATTATCCAAAATTCAATTATAATAATGAGTAGCATGAAGTGTTACTTATTTCAAATACTGTACTTCCCCAAACCAATTCTGTCAAAGTTAATAACCTGTCAAATCCCATAAAAAATTAATTCACCAGGTTTATTTCTGCTACTTGAATCTAGTGTTTGGCATCGTAATCATGTGATGCTAATTGTCACATGATACAATATATAAAAATCAACAATTAGATTGTTGATTTTATATATTTTACCACGTGACAATTAGCATCACATGATTATGACGCCAATCACTACTTGAATCTAATAATATTTTATATCTGATGATATCTCAATATTAATATAAAATCTGTCCACTAAGCATATCAGTTTTGGGAGGTTTAATAGTATCTTTTAATGAATGAAACATTCAATTCTTTAATGAGATAAATTGTGTTTCAATTATTTATACATATTCGAAGTGCATTACTGCATTAACGATTTTTACATATACATAAGTAGTTAATATAAGCAAAATGAAAAATATTCATGAATTTAAATGCTGTTAAAACTTCCCAAAACTGGCATTCATGGTGGATAGATTTTGTATCAGCATTAAAAGGTTATCAGATTTGAAAATATTATAAACTATTAGTGAAAGCAGGCTTGGTAAATTAAATAGTTTATAATATTATTAAAACGTATAATCTCAATACTGATACAAAATTTGTCAACTATGCATATTGATTTTGGAAAGTTTAACAGTGGTTGAAATTAGGTAGCAAAGCTCCCTGTATGTGCAATTGTCTAATTAATATATGAATTACAAAATTACAAACCAAAAAAAATTTCACATTATTGAATCATGTTTTAAACATGACCAATCATAGCTTCAGACAATTTTAAACTCTTTGAATTGAGTCTAAAATATAGGCAATTGCAGATTTTGTCAGACATTTTGAAAATTTGTATGCTGGGCAAAATTAGTATCACCCAAATTTTGGATTTAGATTTGGCGAAACATTTGGTCTCGCCTGAAATATTAATATAGATATTACAATTTAATTATTATTTATAAAAAATTTTACCTATATAAAAAAATCTCTGGGTGGCCAGGTTTAAAATTTTTCAAATGTTATATAAATTAGTTAAATTTATTTTACAGAACGAAATAAGACAAATCAGGTTCAAATTGGCATCACAAAATCCTAATATGAACCCAATTTGAAACAGATATTTGGCGCAAATATAAGACCTATAGAATACAATTCAGATTAACATCAGCATACAAGACATATCAACAAAATGATAGCACAATAGGTAAATTGATAGAGCTATAAGATAAGCTATATTGATTTACCTATTGAGCTATTGTTTTGCTGATATGTCTTGTATACTGATGTTAATCCGAATTGTATCCTATAGGTCTTGTATTTGTGCCAAACATCTGTTTCAAATCGGGTTCATATTAGGATTTTGTGATGTCAATTTGAATCTAATTTGCCTTATTTCAACCTGTGTTTGTATTATCTTATTTATAGGATGTTCTATAGAATAGATGGGCAAAACAAAAAATAAACTCTGTTAATGATTAGTAATCATTAATAGATATTTAATAGTTTGTGGAGTTTGCCCACCTATTCTATAGAACATCCAATTTGGATTATTTTATTAATAATTATTTTAGAATAAATCTTTTCATAGTACCCTGTAATGTGCTAATTCATTGCATGCATATTTAATTATTATAATTTATAGATCTGTATAATTAATACTTGATTAAAGTTAGGGTAAGATTGAAGTTAGGGTTTGGGTTAGTAGTTAGAGTGGGCTTAATATATACCAAAACTTTACAAGAAATTTTTTTGTTAGAGCTCAAAAAGTAGTTTTTTAGACAAAATTTTGAGATATTAAAAAATTTTAAATTTTTTTTTATTTTTGTTAGGCCACACCAAGCTGATTTTTCATTTAACATAACCTCCTTTTTAATTTTTAAAATTTTACAAATATAATACATGATATTAACCAATCAAATTGCTGCATTGGTTTTTTAATTTTTTAAATTTTTTACAGCAAATAAAACTGCAGTGTTTTTTTTTTTGTTAATTCCTCCCACTATAAAATTTCTTATGTTATGTTAAACAAGAATTAGCTTGAAATAGCCTTACACAAAAATAATTTACATGTTACATCTGATCTTCAAATTTAATTGGTTAATTACTAAGAAGCGATATATAAGCACATTGTAGGGGCACAATATCTATCTATTATTTTATATATCATATATTTTAATTTGTAATTTACAAATTTGTTATTTTTACAGATAATTAATTCACAGAAAGCACACTTTGTAAATAATAGTTTTTTTACCAAAAATTATGATACACATATTTTAAATTTGTGCATATATATTTTATAGTATTATAAAAATTTATAGTGCATTAATTTTTAAATTTATTCACATTTTTTTGAAATAAGATTTTATCACTGGTCAAGATATCTTTAAAAAAAAATCAAAACACTTATCAAAATAGAAGCTGCACCAAAATTATTCTCTACTTGAGTGAAGATATCTTGACAACCATCTAACCAAATCCAATAAACTATTTTTTATTTGAATTCTATGGATTTATATAATTCGAATAGAAAAATTTTCATCAAATTTAGTCAAGTGTTTGTCAAGATATTATCGCTCAAAAGTTAGAGAAAAATCAAAAC